AAGAAATTATAATTCAAGATCTCAGCTTACTACAACTGCTCATACTATAACAGTATCAGACTCGAACAAAAACACGGCAATCACTAGAATATATCATACTCTTATACAATGCGTTCAATGACCGTATTCCAGTTCAATATGTGTAAGACTATTATGCTAGTTCTCTATCTCGGTTGTAGCTCGTTTTGTCAGAGATTTGGTGTCAGACAAGACAAGACAGATAAATATTCATTCGGTAGCTATGAGAATCTTATCTCTTAGAGAATTAGGAATACGAACCAACCAACGTTTTTTCTTGCGCAGAGCGGTTTGATAACGTCACGTGCCGTGCACGGAGCGTATCCTGCCAGATATATAATACGATGTTGGTCGGTGGCGAAACGGTCTAGTCGATATTGCATATAAATTTATACAAAGATTTTTTTTGCATGTTCCGATACGGTTACGGTCATGATTCAGAATGTTGTAGTGAGTAGAGACCTTTACATCGTGGACAAGCGCAAAATGGTCACAACAATTTCAAACTGTAGCCATCACGCGATGCAGCTACGTCACCGACTTGTACAACATGTACATAAATAAAAATGCAAATGCTTTATAGCAAACACGGAATAGCCTTCATCGAACATAACGTAAATAGTGTAACGCACGCACATAGATTTTCTTACAGCCAAGTTCAGGAACACAACGCCTCGAGGCATTTTAAGTACCAACTTATGTCCAACATATTGTCAGCAGAAGCTGGAACTAATGTATGAAGTAATCCTGTAAATAAAGAAAACATAGTATGTAAAGAAACAAAACACACACAAACAAACAAACACGCACACACACACACACACACACACACACGCGCACGCACACGCGCACTCGCACGCACACGCACACACACGCGCACGCGCACACGCGCGCGCGCACGCGCACGCACACGCACACGCACACGCACACGCACACGCACACGCACACACACACACACACACACACACACACACACACACACACACAACGCGCGCGCGCGCGCTCGCGCTATATCATGTAACTCTAAATTCGTACAATAATATAATAATTATACTTCTATAATTTAATAACTAATTTTCTATTTTTTTTTTACCTCAACTTAATACCCATTGTTTGGAAGAGCGGTGCTTCCTACTACAAACAAATCATATAACATAACATAAACACTCACGCCTGTCACCCAGAGGGGTAGGCAGAGACTACAGACTTCCATTTAGCACGATCCTGACATACCTTTCTCGCCTCTTCCACATCCATATACCTACGCATACATGCTCGTCGGTTAAGGGTACTCTTAATTTGGCCCATTTTTAGTATATCGCCAATTTGGTCGACAAACTTCCGCCTAGGACGTCCCTTTCCGACTCTTCCATTCACTTCTGCAACATATATTTGCTTTGTCAGTCTTTCCGCATTCATTCTTTCTACATGACCAAACCACCGAAGCATTCCTTTCTTAATCCTGGTCACCGCATCATCTTGCAAACCACATTCTTCTTTTATCACACAGTTTCTCACCCTGTCACTCAGATTCAGCCCTAACATACTCCTTAGCGACCGCATTTCTACTGCATTTATTCTACTCTCGTGCTTCTTCTGCCACACCCAACTTTCACTACCATACGTTAAAGTAGGGACTAATACAGTACTGTGAATTGCCATACGTGCCTTTTTTGACACATTCTGACTTTTCACAATAGAGTGTAGAGCCCCATTTACTTTCTTTCCTGCATTCACTCGTCGTTCAATATCCTTATCATGTCTCCCATCCCTGCTGAATACACATCCCAAATATACGAACTCATCCACTTGCTCAATTAACTCTCCTTCTATTCTTATTTCACATACCGTTTTGCTTTCATCTCTTTCAAAAACCATCACTTTCGTCTTACTTGCGTTCACTTTCATTCCCCTTTCTTTTAATGACCTGTTCATTAATGTAACCATCATTTGCAACTCGGCCGCCGACGACGCAAGTATGACTTGATCATCGGCGTACAAAAGGCATTTGATGGTTAACTCACCCATTCTTAACCCGCATTCTTCAACTTTCAAATTTTCCAAACAGCTGTCCATAAATAGGTTGAACAGCCACGGGGAAGCTACACAGCCCTGTCTGACACCTTTATGGATGCCAAACCAGTCCGAGTAGACCCCGTTGATTCTAACACAAGCTCTCGAGTCCCTATACAGAGACTTTAATGCCTGTATCAAACCAGCGCTCAACCTAAATGCGTTCAGCGTTTGCCATAACACATCCCTTGTCCACTCTGTCATAAGCCTTTTCCAAGTCCACGAACGCACAAAAAAACTTTTTGGTTTTTCGCCAAAAACTTCTCCGCGATCATGCGCATGGAAAAGACTTGATCTGTACACCCCATTCCCTTACAAGCAAATCCTTTGCATAAAAGGAAGCTCCAACCACGATATGCTACGTAATAGATTAAGTTATGCAATAAAAAATTAGAATTTGAAAAAATATTTGAATAGTATTCTTTTACATCTCATCAAGTCCCGTGTGGTTGGGGGGCGGGGGGGGGGGAGAATTCACCAAACCATTTCGTCTTGCGGGTGTCATAAGAATAGACTATGTGAAATCGTAGAAATATCGTTTCTCTTATGATAATCGTATAATTACCTCCTCAGTTTTCAATTATTCCCGAATTATTTTAACGCGATAGTCACAATGCAGCACGAATGAGCCGACTCGATTGGGGATTCATTACGCTCTCACAGAATACCAGCGTGAATAGTAGCTAAATGTTAATAGTAACTAAGGCCCGGTTTACATTTTGAGAAGTGACAAGTGCAACTGACAAATGACAAGTGCTTAGTTACCGGTAACGAGGCATTCTATCTTAGTCCTCAGAGTTAACAATGCATTTTAATTTTGATTCTTGGTCAAGGATAGATGTAGTTGTCTTTGTGCCACAGCATCTTTTTTTAATAGGAGAGGGGGCAAACGAGCATGCGGCTTACCTTATGGTAAGTGGCTACCGCCGCTCATGAACAACTTCACCATCAGGGGAATCGCAGATGCGTTACCGGCATTTTAAAAAATAGGCTTTTTCTTGAAGTTCCCAAAGTCATATCGATTCGGAAAATTCTCTGAAGGAAGAAAACTTCTTCTAAATCGCAAAGTCACAACACAAAGTAGATCGCAGGCACAACTTACCATCAGGTGGATTGGGTGCTCATTTGTCACCCTTATTTTATAAAAAAAAGTTTCGAGTGCTTTACAACACTCATAGTCACGGGAGGACTAAGGTGTTTGACGTGCTGATATCGCATTGAACATCTCAAATAATATTCAAAATCCTTAAACGATTCAAGACCATTCATGAGCCTCTCCAATAATTTGAAGGATTAGCCGTTATTAATTGCGTTTTGTTACTTGGTAATAACATACGCCTGGCATTTTTATGTTAATCCCCGTCGCCGGTCTTGTTGGTTTTAAAGGTATCAGATTTTACGATAATATATGCGCATCATCAAATCTATCTGGTAAAGCACCGGCAATTCCGTGTATTGCATTTGTATTGCAGGTGTTCACGGGCAGCGGTGATCACTTACCATCAGGTGAGACGTATATGCTCATTTACGTGCATAAAAGAACTGTGTATTGTAACAGACGTTACAAGGCACAGTGGTGGCCTGTGTGGTTAACATATACATACATATATTGCCTTATATTTGCTACAGCTGCCACGCCTGGCTTAAGACTTTGCAACCATACTTTTTATTATTTGAGCTGTGATCAGGAAAAGGCTGCTGCGGTTATTCATCTCTAGGTATGTACGAGTACAATGTAATTAAGTTTAAGCAGTAATAAAGGATTACTCGATAGATTCGGTTGTGTATCATTGTCTTAATTCCTGTGTGTGGTGACATGAACTAGGCGACGCGACGATATGGGGTAGTGGGTGGTCTTACGCCACCACTACACGGCAGCAATTATATTAATATGAATTTATTTGCGATAGCAGCGTGAATGGGAAAGCAAAACACTTGCACTAAATAATACTAAATTTACTATTGATTTATAGCGTGAATGGGAAAGCAAAACACTTGCACTAACTAATAATAAATTTACTATTGATTTAACATCGTGAATGGGAAAGCAAAACACTTGCACTAAATAATACTAAATTTACTATTGATTTAACGTTCCATCTTAGTCAGCAAGGTTAAAAAACTCAAGTAATAATGCAGTGTCTATAGGCCACAGCACTCACTTCCCATCAAGTAAAGTACGTGCTCCTTCGTCACTCTTATATAAAACTAAGAACTAAACGGAATGAAAATATTCTATATATATATATATATATATATATATATATATATATATATATATATATATATATATATATATATATATATATATATATATCATATATTATATTTATAATAAAAGTGTATTGAAGAACTGAAGCCCGACGGATCAAAAGGATCAAAAAATTTAAATTTTTTTGATCCTTTTGAGTTAACTAGGGAATATCACAAACTCAAGGTAGCAAATAGAATGCCGTAAATAGTTTCATTTAAAACGTCATTCTCTATTTTCCACCCTAAGGAGGAATTTGAAATTTTTTGACCTTTACCACTGAGTACCTATAGTGTACTATACAAAAAATTAATCTTTTTTGGAAGTCGAGTAAAAATATTCATTCATTCATTCATTACAAACCTTCACAAATCCACTGCTGATCATGGTCTTGACCAAGGAATGCCACAAAGTACGCTCCTGAGCCACCTACATTCATCGACTTTCTGCATGGTGGTCACCCTACACTTCACTTACCGGTACTAGGCTGCCACTCGAGAACCTTTCTTCTCCATCAGTTGTCGGTTTTTTGAGATATATGGCCGACCTATTTCCAATTTAGCTTACTAATCCGTAAAATATAAAAGAAAGTGAATTACCAGCTTAAAGTTAACCCGTGCTATGTACAAGTGCGGCGCGCGAGGATGAGATGCGGCAGTCAGGTGGCCGCCTGGTCCTCTCTGTCCTCGTTCTCTTCCTCCTCCTCCTCCTCCTGAGCCAGCAGCTGCCGCGCCAGCTGTAAAGCCTGTAATATTTTCATTTGAACTATTATAATTATTTCTTACATTTTTACGCGAACACTACACATTAATTAAAACTACTTTTACGGATTTTATCGCGTTTAATTTTATTTATTTTTATTTTTATTCCTATTATAAAAATAATTAAAATTAAACGCGACAATATCCGTAAAAATAGTTTTAATCAATTTGAACTATTATGTTGAGATATAACTATAACATATAAAAATTACTTCTATTCACATGTCCTCACTAGTGAATATTCTTTTTTTCTTCATTGTTTTTTTATATAGAATAGACAAGCCAGCATACAGTCCACTTGATAGTGTATAGATATTGTGGCCCATAGACATCTACATCCATTCTTGATTAAGAATCAAAATGCAGCTACGTTGTCACCCCTCAAGAATAAGACGGGAAGCCTAGTTCCCTGTTAAAAGGTTCTCCGGTTCTCTACACTCACCATTTGGTATTTTATGAGATTGGTTTCTCCCCCATTGACTGCCTCCAAGGGATAAGGCATAAGGGATATCTTTGATAGTCGCCATGCGTAGCAACTTCTGTTTTTTTATTAATGGGTTGGGAAAAATGTTTCTTCGTATTTTATATACAAATTCAAGACATTTTTTTAATTATTTACATTTAGAGATAGATAGAGAGAGAGAGAGAGAGAGAGAGAGCTAGAGTGTGGAACTTTCATAAAAGCATCTCACAATGCACGCACACAAGCACGGTGTTCACCTAATGCCGGCGCCACACATTGGACATATTGGCTCCCAAGTTATAGTCTTGGATCCAATACACCAATGTGTGGATCGGTCTTGGCCCGATACTGGCCATAAACGTAACATTGCGTCCAATAGCTAATGTCGACCCGTGATGTGTCGGTTTTTCATACACCAATAAAGGCGAGGGGAGTGAAGGGGGTAGGCGGGCGGGCAACTTGGATCCAACGTCGCTTCCCGGTCCCCAAATTGTTGGACGTATGACATGAACTCTCCGAATGCCACTTGGTCGAATGAGCAAGTATTCGAGTTTCTGGAATTGTATCAACAAGAAGAAGCACTGTGGAATCCAGTGAACAAATACCACAAAAATAAAAATGTATTAGCAGATTCGTGGGAGAGGATTCGAAGAGGGATGTGCATAGAAGGCATTACTGTCACCAACCTAAAAAAGAAAAAAGAATCGTTGATGACAACGTATAGATATCATTTAAAAAAAATGAAAAATTCTATAAAGTCAGGTGCTGGTGCACATGAAATTTACGAAACAAATGACGAGTTGAGCTGCGGTCCAACCATCCAATGCTCTAGCCTAGTAAGTTTGCCAAAAGGTATTGGAGTTAATGTGTGGCCGCATTAACTTGGATACAATAATTAGCCATAAATTCGTAGCCAAGTTTGGACCCAATTTGAATCCAATGTGTGACGCCGGCATAAAATAGCATACTAAAAAAATAACGCGATATTTAGTACTCCCAACGCGGGAATCGCGTTATTTTCTCTGTGTGCTTTCATAGGTGAAGTTGCGAGAGTAGTACTTTTTATTTTGTTTAATTTTAATTAATTGTTTTATAAAAAAAAAACTTATTTAGAATTCTAGTATTTACGTAGACACTACATTGAATAAAATTAGTTTTACGGATTTTATCGCGATTAATTTTACTTGTGTTTTAATTTCCGTGCTTAGCAGGTCTTTCCGTGACCGTGGATGTTGTAAAACACTCTAAAAGTCGATCGGTCGAAGTCCGTAAAACAATATTTATTCAAAAACATTACTTATTAAACAATATCCCAACCCCCATCGAATCCCTCCAAACGCCGTAGTAATCCGATCTTCTCGAGGAAAACAAATTCGTCACGTCATTTTTTTCAGAAACGCAACCGGATCTACGCGTGTAGTGCTGCGCTGCACACTGGGCTTTGCTAATTAACGAGACCGGCGTCCGTTCAAATACGCCCAGACTAAATTCCACAGACCGGAGATGCTAATGCGTCACCCATGCAAGGAATCGCTTTACGTTGACCAACGCATTTAACCACTGAGGATAAAGAAGTTAATGTAAACACACACACACACACACACACACACACACACACACACACACACACACACACACACACACACACACACACACACACACACACACACACACACACACACACACACACACACACACACACACACACACACACACACACACACACACGCACGCACGCGCACACACACATCACACACACGTCACACACACATCACACACATCACACACACATCACACACACATCACACACACATCACACACACATCACACACATCATACACACATCACACACACATCACACAAGCACGCACGCACGCACGCACGCACACATATCAAACACGCACGCACGCACGCACACACATCACACACACACGCTCGCACGCTGGCACGCACACACATCACACACGCACGCACGCACACACATCAGACACACACACACGCACGCACGCACGCACGCGCGCACGCACGCACGCACACACATCACACACGCACGCACGCACAAAAAAATGGTAAATTCTTTTTATTTATTTTTTATAGGAGAACGGGTAAACGAGCATACGGCTCACATGATGGTGATTACCGCCGCCCATGAACACTGCAACACCAGGTGAATTGCACATGCGTTGCCGGCCTTTTAAAAAGGAGTAGACTCTTTTCTTGAAAGTCCCAAGTAGTGTCGGTCCGGAAAAATCTTTGGTGGTAGTCGATTCCACAAAGAAGTTGTGCGAGGAAGAAAACTTATTTTAAATCGCACGGTCGTGGACCGCCAGTCATCCAGATGGTATCGCGAGTTTTCTCGCGATGTGCGATGGTGAATTGTGTGGCTGGAATGAGTCCGAACAATTTCTCAGACCACTCCCCGTGGTAGATGCAATAAAATACGAAAAGAGATGCAACATCTCTTCGTAGTGCCAGTTAGTAAAGCCTATCGGAAAGAGTTCGGTCGCCGACGGTTCGAACAGCTCTGCGCTGGATGCGATCAAATGGAAGGATCTGGCAATGAGGAGCCCCGGCCCAGAGATGGGAACAGTATTTCATGTGCGGCCGAACTTGCGCCTTGTAAAGTTGCAGGCGGTGAGCCGGCATGAAATACTGTCCCGCTCAGCTGAGCCCAACAAACTTTTTTAGAGGCCAATTTGGCCTTCTCTTCCAAGTGACCACGAAACTGCACGTCACTCTATATGTCGACGCCTTGAAACTGAGGAGATACGACGAAGGTTTTTTTAGAGATAAACGCGCAAACTTGCATCTTCTGGGGATTAAACTGGACTAGATTTAGTCGCCCCCAGTCTGAGTACACAGAGTACACGTCTTCAGCACAATAAGAGGGACGCTATCCGACCTACTCGACTTGTTGACGTCCAGGGAGAGGAGTGCTCTGCGCACTGAGTGTTGGGTAAACAGGACAAGCTGCACGGAGCACTCATTCCGCGGGATGGTCGGCGGTGTGTTCCCCCCAGCATCAAAAGTTCAAGAGATGCAAAGAGAAAGCCCAGCAGATGGGCTTTGTCTTTTGTAGCATGGGCCAGTGAGTCGTCCTCGCTGTGCAAAGATGGGAGAGATGGCTGACAGAAGTTCCCTTAGGCAGCCTTGGCGAGAGACCAGAATGCACGTGTTCCCGAAGGAAGACAAAACCAGTTTCTCGCCAATTCTGCCGATGTGCTCTGACTTGGCCTTGACAATAACACTTTTGAAACTTATGATGTAGTGCAATTTTGCAGGAGCGACCAAACTAAGGCTGGGTTCTGCCTCCGATAGGTACCACAGATGATGGAATAAAAAATTCCATTCCCTGTAGCACCACATCAGCGACAGAATCAGCAACAACGCTGGGATCATCCGGCGAGAAGCAAACCCTCCTCCAAGGGTAGAATGCAAAAAAAGATCGCATCCCGTCCCAATTTGCTGACCTATAATGCCAGACACGGCGGCAACCTGCAGTACGCAACCGCGATGAGAGCGTGAGTGGCACCGTACTCCGGATCAGAGAATGGTCCGAGGAGCCAAGAGGGGCATCGACGGAGACCTGATATCCGTCCGAATGAGAGGTCAGCAGAAGGTCCAACAGAGAAGGTACATGGTTTTCCACATCTGGGATCCGCGTAGGCGAGGTAACCATTTATGTAAGACCATATGCCAAAGCAAAGTCATAAACAGATCTACCCGCATGATCGGTTAAAGAGAACCAAGCCATTCAGCGTGGTGGGCGTTAAAATCACCAAGTATCACGATCTCTGCGGATGGGATCTGTTGTACCACGGAGTCTGTAGCCATTTAGACGTGGTTAATGAGTCGGTCTGTTTCGGCATTACCGCTATGGGACCTATAGAGGCACCCGAAAACGCGGGGATGGTCGTCGCTGTATACGCGCAGTCATAAGATGGTCACAGTCACAAGTCCGTACCTTCAAGGCTGTCAAGGCGTCGAAAACAGATGTCCTCTCTGACGTACACGCAAACTCCAGCCCGGGGCACAAAGGAGTGTTCTAATTTGTACTCCGGGTAGGAGAGATACCAGCCGGAGAGAACACCTGTGTCTCGGTTAGAAAGAGCAAGGCCGGCTTCACCGTTTCCAGATGGTAGTGGACGGCGTTAAGATTTGAATGAAGTCCCCTGATGTTGCAGAAATTCACGGATAGCGTGGCAGGGGTCGCCTTTGACTTATTGCTCCGTTTGCCCCGAGCAGGTTTAGTCTCGAGCGGAATTTTTCAACCCCCCCCCCCCCCCAGAATACGCGGGGCAGCCTGAGCACCCACGCTCAGCATTGGAGTAGCTTGGTCGTGGATGCTCAGCGAAGGATTCTCCAGGGGTGCTGATACCCTCCTGGGGCAGTCTTGGATTTAATTCCGCTACCATGTTGATGTGGGGGGGGGACTGCACTTACCAGACGAAACGCGGAAGCAAAGCCTCTGCTTCACGTTGGTCTTCTGTGAGGTCGTGGTACCACCCCGGTTTGAGCCGG